TTATATTTGTAAATATATACGTATATTTTTATTATTAATTTATTTATAATTAAAAAATGGTTTGTGTCCTTACTAAAAACACGAAAGATATTTGAATTATGTATTAACAGTCGGTAAAATAGAATACATCAGGGAATTAGTAGTATCAACAGTTGCTACGTTATGAATTTTCAAATTACTTATATATTTTTTTTTTTTTAAATTGTTATTTAATAATTTATAAAAATATAATAATTTATAATTATTATAATAATAATTTTATAATAATTAATTATTTTACAATTGAGAAAATAATATTAAAGTAATATATCCATTTTTTTCGATAAAGAACTAATTTTTAAAAATTTTTTATTTAATTATTTATCAATTTATGCATTATTTTTTATTAATTTGTATAATTAATTTAATACTATATATATAAATATTATAGTATTGCATTTTGCTTTCCTTTTTTTATATATTATCAAATTACTTTATTTTGTTATAAAAAAATGTATTTTCTTGAACTTTCGTTTTTATTATTCTCATAGTAATTTACTCTATGAGTATTCTTTATCTGATAAGTAAAATAAATGATCCTTTCTGAAGGGAAACATTGAGGTTTATTACATTTTTAAGTAAATTAAAAATAAATTCTAAATTTGAACTTATGATTTTACGTTATATAATATATTAAGTATATATTAAAAATAGAAATCGAAAAGTTAGAAAAAATAAATAAAATAATAATATTAATAATTTTTAAATTAAGAATTATCAATTTCATTCAGAAAGTGATTTTGATATTTTGTTTTTCAATTTATATTTTTTATTTTTATTACATGGTCATTATCTATCTTACACGTATAGTAATTAAAAATAAGAAATTCTATTATTTTAATTTGGATATTTTAACAATTGAATGAAAATGTGTATAAACATGAATATTCATTAGTAAGGATACAATAGTAAATTATGTTTCTTTAAATATCTTACTTTTCGTTATAATTTCTAATGTTACAATATTTTTAATGTTAATTATAATATTTAGGTAACAAGTAATTAACTATTATATTATGTAATTGCTATAGCTATAGAAGTAGTCTATTTCTATATCATTGGCCAACAGTTATCGATATAATTGAAATAAGATCGAATAACGATTAATTCGATAACATCATGAAATTGATCCATGTAATAGATGTGGCTAATATATTTCAAGTCTTAAAATAAATTACACAACTGCAGATACATCGTCTTTCACGAGATCTTTCACGAAAAAAATCAATTTCCTTTAATTATAATAATTACAATTAAACAGATCAGAAAAGAAATGTTTAATGATATTTTTTGATGAACACTCTTAAAATATCTGTGCAGTATATTAGTTGAGAAACATTGGATTATACGAAACTGATAAATTTGACAGACTGTGAAAAATTTTTTATATTTCATTATATTATCGATAATTATTATACCGTATACAATGATTAATAATTTCCCTTTTGAAAAAAGGGATTTAATAATGGATAGAAGAAGTTTCAAAGATTTTCTAAAATGTCTAAAATTGTTCGACTATGCTAAAAATAATCAATGTCCACATGATAGATATTGCTTAACGGAGTTGTAATAAATACATATCGTGAGATATTAGCAAGACTCTTGAACATTACTTGCATCGTCACTTAGGGTTTCGAAGTAACATAACGCAGGAACAGAAGGCACCGAAAAGGATGCACTTATAGGTGCAGTCCGAGAATGACGTCAACCTATTGCCTTTCTATAAATATCGAGTTTCCAAAAGAAGTTCGTTGCCCACGCTTGCAACGCGAACAACAAGTTACGAGAGTTTAATGACCGTCTTCATCGCCATTTCTGCCTAAATCTTTGATATTCTCACGAGTAGCCCTGTAAGGCACTTTGTAAGTATTATATTATTATTAGAATAGGAGTATTTAAACGGTATTGTGGCACTTACAATCCTTTCATAGTACGTCCAATCTTCATTTACTATTAAAATTAGATATGATATGTTGCTGAAAGATTGATTTATTGGATTTTGCATTAATTACATATTTTCCACTATATCCAAAGTTACGAATCCTACTTTCTTTAAAACTTTCAATTTTATTGTTCACAGAATAGCAAGTCAGTCTAGCAAGAGTGGTTGCGTACTTACGAACATTTGATCGATGATAATGGGATTGCGTGCACCGAACCTAGATTATGGAGTTTCCGTTAATCGCTACCATGCAAGGTTTCTTGTTTTTCCATTTAATTCTATAATATTAATCTTTCTTACGAGTGATAGGATAGAGTTGAATTTTTTTTAATAAACCATAAATATTTAATATTTTGCAAGCCAAAAGGAAAACTATTTTTACTGTTGACTGCTTTTTGAAGAATTTTAAAAATCAAAGTTTAATTTTTTTTAATTCTCAAAAAAAAAAAAAATGTTCTCAAAAATTCGAAAATTTGACAATCTCGCAAAATTTCGAATTTAAGTTTCGCCAATCTAATTCTAAAATTTCTCTGTAAATTAGTATATGTTAATCTTAAGATAGAAAAAGAAACTCGTTGGAATAAACCGATAAACACGAGGAGGATCAAAATATTGAGGAGAAACAGTAGTAAATTCGCGGTGAAATTTAAACGTAGATCTGGTCGTGATTAAATAATCGATAGGTAAGAGGAACGATGTGTAGAGAATGAACTCCTATGCAAATATTGAATGTCGTTTGCAAGAGGATAAGGTTGATGACTCATATCGAGTAACAGGCAGGACTGACACTGGTGAATAAGTACACCGGTTAATATTGCGAATTGTCGCGAATACGCACACCAATACTTGCAACAAAGCCGTGGCATACTTACATCTATTCGAAACAAGGCAATTCTCGAGTCGAAACATCATTCGTGTCACGTTTGCCAGTTTTTTGGTTGAAAATCAATGTGACTTGTGCTTGCATTTGTTCATGCATGCACGGATAAACTCTGTGAAAAGGTCTCGAGTAAAGAATGCAAATGGGGTTACTGTTTTTTGAATGAAAATTGACAAGGTTTGTTTTTTGAAGAAAAAAAAAAAAAAAAGAGATTGTTACTGAAGAAAATAAAATTGCTGAATCTGATGAGTAGGATAGAAGTAATTAAAATTATACGATTTTTTTAATAATAAAAGAAATTTGAACTTCTAATTTTTCAAATTTGATATTTCACATAAAATAATTGTCTTTGTCAATGCAAAATGAAAACGATATTGTAAATAATGCAAATCTAATAGTTCTGTAATTAGCTCCATAAAAGCTAATAATTTTAGCAATCATTTTAAAACGATTGATCATTTGTGATAAATTGATTATTGATTGATAAACAAATTTGATTCTTGTGAGATAGAATAAAAAAAAAAGAAGAAAACAAATTAAATTTCGATGAACAAATATTGGGATAAATAATCTATAAGGAAAGATATCTGCAAACTTCTAGATATCTCTATCAAATCTATTATCAGATCTTTTATACATATATATAAGGATCATCGTTTCGTGAAATGATGATTTGTAGAAGGAAGGAATGAAAGCGAGATGAAGCAAACTCTTTGTTGGATTAACAGGAATAGAAGTTGTATCGAAACGCGTTAGAAAGTAACGGCTAATTAAATCTTCGCGATTGTTCTCTATGATTTGCTTTGCTACTAGGCAGAATGTATTGGTTACAGCAGAGTTACAAGCCTGGTAGGAATCCGGCATCTTAAGCCTACGCTTTAATTCTAAGTTGCTTCACCTCTTATGTTCTCCTTTCTACATTCGAGTTCTCTATGTATATATGTATTTTCTGAATGACATTCTTCACGTAAGCAAATATTTTTACACATTTAAAAACTGTAACAGGTTTTATTCTACTCGTACTGTAATAAATCGAACACGAGGCAAATTTTATTTAGAATGTTCATAGGAAAAATTTGAACAAATCATAAAGCTTTGATTGAGTTTAATCCATAAAATAATTAATCTTCTAATCTATAAATCAAAATTATTTATTAAACTGAACTTAAGACCAGGTTTTTCTAAGGGAGATTAAATTGAGAACGAACATTTTTAAGCAGGGTAACGCTGGTACTTGGGAAATAAGTGAAATAGAAGTAAGGAGAAGAAATAGGGCGGTAAGTCGCCATTCCCAAATATAACTTTTAATGCAGTGTCGTCAGTCTTTGAAGTAGTTGTTGCGCTCGACTCAACAAGATTTCAAATATTCTTGAGAACATAATGAACAAATAACTCTTTGAAATAATTCATAAACTTTCACATCATAATTATCATAAATTTTAAAAAATTGCTTGTAGATAAAACTGTTCGTTTCGTTTCAATTTCTTTTTTTAATTTAAAATTTCGTAAATTTACTTTTAAAAATGCTATGCTAAATTTTTTAATTTTGATATGAATAATTAAATGACAAACAAATTTTAAATTATTTCGAAAGTATAACACAAAATAATTTTTATATTTTCCATACTTTTTATTTGATTTTATACTTTTATATCAAAAATATAAAAGTAAACTTTTTTACATCTTAATATACGACATGATTTTTATAATAAATAATAGGGAAATTCATAATAAAAATTATTTTTCTAGAATATCTTTTTAAAAATTTGATAATAAAATTGATAACCTAGTGAAGGTATTCTGAATGCGCAATACGCCAACAAACACGTGTTTCAAATTTTCTCCTATACTTTCTTAACTTGCGCAAGTTGGAAGGCTTTGTTAGATCTAGAACTTGTTAATACACATACTTATATACTTATGCATATATTTATGTCGTGTCCCTCTAGACTTTTATGAATCGGCGTTTCATGTAACAAGAGCATAGAAATTGTCCCGCGGTAATTCGCCCACGCATGCGCACGTGCACACGCATGCGCATGCCTCGTACGATTTCATCGTTTCTCGTCTTTTGCTTGAATAGTAATAAGTCTTTGGTCTGTCGAAGAACGTGTGACGTAGATATGTCATCGGTCCACGATGATTTTAGATACGAGGTGGAACATTGACAACATATTTCATTCGTTTAAAAATCCAGCGACAAAGGAATTCTTCAGCGCGATTGAGAACCCAACTTCCCACGCCTTCCGCAATGTATTCTCGTTCATCTGTTACGTGTCGCCTTTCAATTCTTCGTGTAACCACGCGTTCGGTCTTCTACATTTTTACAGATCTTATACATCATTTGTTCCTCATTGTGACTTGGAAATAAGAAGTTCTTTCAAGTGATAAATTTAAAAAATATTCGCAGGTACATAACCTATTTGTCTTTCGGATCAGAAATACGATTTATTAAGTTGGTAAATAACCATTGGACAAATTGAAAAATTTTACATATTTAAACATTTATATTTTACATATAAATATTCTAAAGTAGTTCTAATTATATCAAGCATTAGAAACAAAAGTGAATATGAATAATTGTTTGATATAATTAAAACTATTTTATATAAATTATTAAATAAATATAATAATTATTTCTTATAGATGTAACAATTTTTTTAATAGTATAGTTAGAATATTAAAAACTTTTGAATTAATACATATTTAAATGTTAGAGTTATATTGAGCTAGAATATTATTTGTTAATAGAAATTATGCTTGGAATATAGAAACATATATTTTACAAATTTGATCATTGCGATACTTCATCAATGCTCATTTCTCCATATCCATCAATTGATAATATATAGAAATATAGCATAGAATAATCTTTTCAATTGCTAACTATTTAATCTTCAGAATTTTATCATGATTGAAATGCAATCATGTGATTGAAAATATACGTTTTAATAATGTATTTATTATATCTTATATAACCTAATGGAATTTAAATGTAATAATTAATATATTTCTAAACCTAAGAGAACCTAAAAGGAATGCGAGGACTATATTTAATCGTGTTGTGTGTAGGAACGAAATGAAAAAACTTTCGTTCCGCTTAGTCATTTTTTTTTTCAATTTTTTTTCGCCGCACGAGTGTAATCGAGCAAACTTGGTTAATTTTATGAATACACGAAAATCTGTGAAGGCATATATCACCGAGAGGATGCCGGGATCGCACAAAAACAGAAGCTGGAACTTCTTAAACGTGTGTAAAAAGCCTTGATAAAAAAAGCAAGTCCCCAACTGTGAGAGTAGGCATTCGCAGACTCGTCACGTGCGCTTGGTGCATGCGTTCCGTGTGTTCAGACAGTAACAAGAGACACAAGAATTTGAAAAAGGTTACTATTTCCAGAAACTGTTGATATCTAGGATTACTGTTGAATTTATGAAATCCAAAAATGAATGAATGAAACTGTTAAAATTTTCGATAATAAATGTCGTATTTTTAAAGTTTAGAATAAAAAATTTAAGGTTATGTTTAAGTTAATTTTCAATATTATATGTATTTTTAAAGTTTGAAATAGATTTAGATTAATACAGGATAGATTCAGGTTAGATAAATTTGTTGAATTTGGTATAAATATAAGTTAAATTTGAATTATAATAATTAAGTTTGAATTAGATTAAATTTTTGATTATATGTTATTGTATTTAATTTAGGTAGTAATCGAGTTTAAGTTTGGATTTATAATCATTACATATTACACATATTACATTATATTATATTATATGAAAGTTATAAAATCATAATGATATTGAATCTATTTCTTCATAATGTTCATAATTATTTTCATATCATTCAATTGTTTCTCATATGTTTCGCACTCTTAATATTTCGAAACAACATTTACAATTACATGAAAAAAGTTTTCTATAATCTTATATCTTAATCTTTTTTAGTGTTTCTTATTTTTATTAATATCCGCATGATGATAAGTTTCATTATGAAGAAGTTCCTGTTTAAAATAATGTGACGTATTTTAAATGCGCGCAATTCATTGTTGTAATATCATTTAATTACAAGGCAGAGTAAGTAATTTTCATAATCATGAAGAATCAGATGTAACAACTATATAATTAAATTATTTAAACTACGCAAGTTAATTGTTTCATATGTGTTCTCATGCTTTGCACCGTAAAGATTTTAAGAGTTTGCAGAAATTCACTAGAAAAATTGAATCGATATCCCTTACATTATTTAAAAAATTGAACTCAATTTGTTTTTCCTTATATTTATCGAATTCTAGCGATGTCTAATACAATAATATGTACTTGTGTAGAGAAAGAGGACGAGGCCATCGAAAAGATTATAGACAAAAATATATCCTCCATGTTTATGGATCTTCTTTTCTTCCTACGTTGTGTCTGTGAAAACTGTGTTTATGCAAATTGTCGGCAAAACAGGCGCGCGCGAATTGTTCCCTTCGAATGGAAAGGATGGTGTTTAAAGATGAATCGATAGTTTCTCGCTTTACAACGTTTTAGCATTTGTTGTTTTTCTCGATGAATTATAATGAAAAAAAAAAAAAAAAAACATTGTATATTTTTTGTAATATATTTAATCTATTAATATCGGTTATATTGTTCTATTTTTGCTATTATTTGCTGTGCATAATCAAGCATTGCCATTGTTATTAAATTATTATAATTATAATAAGTTATCAACTATCACATGTAACTATATTGTATATATACATGTAATTCAGAACAATATAACAAATATTCTATGCTATAAAGAAAATTCTCTTGGAAATTATTATTATGTTTATTTACACGCGAATAATTCAATACCGATATGAAAAATCATTAAGATATAATTTGTTTAAGAAGCAATACACTTGTAAATCAAAGTTTTGTCGTACAAAACAAACAAAGCAGTTATCACTTTTGATTGTTCGTTTTGTTTCCCTATTTACTACAGAAGCAAATCGATTGGATCGTAATCGGTAAAATCATGTTCGCGAGCGAAAATGACGAGGACACTCGCCAAGTGAAAGAGTTGGATACCAATGACGGAGATGGAGAATAGAAGGAAGAAGGGATCGAGCGGCGGTGATGGTGGCAGAAGCGAGAGAAAGACACGACGGTGCTGAGAAAGAGCGTCTCAGTCGTGGGAGCACGCCTGCCTCCATCGTTCTTTTTGATCTGCTTCGGTCTTCGGTACCACCGCTGCCTCAGTCGAGACTCGGTGAGCTCGAGGCGCTTCTCGTAATGGAGCCCTATCTTCTTTCCCGATTTCTCGATCGTCCAAACAGAGAACAACATTTTTCGAAACTTTATCGCAACTTATTTTGATCTCCTCGATCTTTTCCAAGTTTCGTCCCGTAATTCGTTGACATTTGTGCGTATAAATTGCATTGTATGTAATGAGTTTATAGAAAAGTTTATCGTGTGTGTAACATCGATCATTTCGTTTCTCTACTGTTAATATGATTAGTGAATTTAGGATTGTTGTTGAGAAGCGTAAAATTTGTTTGTCGTCAATTCGATCGATCAAAGACATCAATTTACAGAGGATGATTGTTATAAAAATATATATAAAAGTGTCTGAATATTCTCTGAAAGAATGAACAAATACGAGGATGAAGGGAGTAAAAAGCAACAGTATCGGCGAACGATTCCGGTCCCACAAGACACAAACGCATTTCTACTTTTACCGTAATAAAAACTAGCTTGAGGTACGTTTTTTTCAAGCGAGCTACCAAGCAGAATTCTCAAGGCGCTCAAACTGGCGGATGAAACTTCGCTCGAGTGAGAAAAACGCGCGTGAATCTCGGGCATATAGATGATTCCCGTGTCACGAGGAAGGGAAGATAATTATCGCGAGAGGAAGAGCGCGAAAACAAAAGAGAAGAAAGTCTTCGAAAGTTTTGCTTTATCAACGAGATGCCACTTACAACAAAGGCGACGAGGAGTCGCTGAGGGCGCATCACTTGCTTCACAGATCATGTCGCGGCAAGGCGCACGGAAATGGAATAGCGAACAAAGCAATCGTCGCGCGACCATCTCTTTTCCCGCCACCAGGTACTCGAAAGATTCCATCACCTTGGACGAGACTAACTCCGCCAATAGGAGAATAATAAACAGGAATGGCACCAGTTCATGGGAATGCAGCGACAGCGACAGCCTACACTCGTCCGGGAATATCTCGATCTGCACCCCTGCTCGAGTGCACGGTGGCACGAGCGCGAAGAAGAAGGCTAATCGAAACCAATACGTGTCCCCTTGCCTGTCGAAAACTGGCGCGAAGAGCAGCAGAAGGAAGGAGAGTTGGGCGGATACGCTGCGGGTCGGTTCGATCGACGACCGGATCAAGAGGATGGAGGAGGGTTGGGACGACAGCAGCGTGATCAAGGCTCCTAGAGAGCGGAAGTGGAGAAGGATCACGGCGGAGATAGAACAAAGGGTGCCTAGTGGCAAGTTAGCGGGTGATTTTAGAATTCAGGGGCTGAAAGGAGGTCCGTTGAGGAGTTGGAACAATGGGCCGCAGAAACGAAACCGGAAAAATACCGTGTCCCAGAGGAAATTGAAGCCGATCGAGGATATCGTCGAGTGGGAGGAGATCGTGGAAATGGCCCTTGCTAAGAAGATAGGAGGTGGAAAGAGGAAAAGAAAGCGCGAGAACGGCGAGGACGTGGTCGACGAGGGCGTGAATCGTGGGCGAATGGAGGGTGAGCCGGCGAACGACACGGGGTTGTGCATGAAACGGCTCGAGGTGCTTCTGCAGAATAGACTACCGCCGCAAACGGGTGAGGTATGTCATTATCGACACGCCTCTGGAAACGAGAGTTCGTTAGCCTTTATTTGTGGAACGTATAAACGCACGGAGTTGGGTGAGCCATGTATGTGGAAATTAAGGTTTCGACGATAGCGATAAAGGGATTCCTAAGAGTCGATGAATATGGCTATTCACGATTGATGAATTGATCGTTTTGTTCGCGGTGCCATGTTCCGGAGGCGTTTAATTAGGTACCATTTTTACGATAGATGTTCGAATTGTATTTCACGTCTTGTAAACTCAATCTCTATGCAAATATTGTACTGCTGATCGTTTCTTTAACGTTGCTTTAAATATCTTTTAAAAAATTGAAAAACTGATATTGTATCGCATCGTACGGATGATGTATACAAATTTTGAAAACGTGTAAAATTTAATCTAAATGTAATGTTTATTAAAAAAGGAATCCGGATATTTTCAACTAATTTCACGCATCTCTAGTAGTTACATGTAAACACGTACAGCTTGCAAACGTTACACAACGTTAATTTTAAGCGTTAAACGCTCTTCTCTATATACGTATATATAGCATAATTACCGACAAGGTATAATTGAGCAAATCGTTTAGAAATAGAGGTCGGTTGTTGCGGTACGGAACGTAGTTAAAAGGGCAGCACATTCGTAATCGTGTAATTTTCCCATTTAGGAACTCTCCGTGTTTGAAGGCATGCCGTGTTCTGTTTGTCTCGCGAAACAATGCGACCGTTGTATACACTGTATCCGTGGAGCCTGGGGCCTGATTCATGGTAATTTATTACTAGGAAGTCGTCTTACATGGTAGAATAGAACGAGTTAGTATGCTTTCTAGCAAAACGCCTCTGACACGACACAAGGAAATCGATATGTGTACTATACGTGCATTTGCGACTCACCGCGTGATTCACGAAATTAAGGGAAACTGTTATCGAAACAGAAACACTCCTCGTGCCTTCCGTACCATGCGAAAATTAATTTCGGCTAGAATTTCGAAACTTACGAGAAATCGAGTGATTAATTTTAATGCGACTTTTACATCTAATAAATTTCTTTTTAACAATTAGCAATTAACAAGCTTTTTGTCGTTCAAGAGGATACAAGAAATTAGAAAATAAAATTTTATTTGTTATAGTAATTATTTGTATTCTTCTTAGCAGGGAAAAATGATAAATATGGATTTTATATTTTATACATTATGGATGAACAAATTTTTATGATATTTTTATGAAATCATGAAATTAGATGTAGTATGTATAGATGCGTATAGATAAAGAGGTAAATGTCGTGATACTGATAATATCCATTTAACATTTATAAAATTGAAATTCATCTGGTCGATTAGAATTAGTGTCTAGTATCAGACTTTTATAAACCTTGAATTCATAAAACTGTTCTATTTGATTAAGGTCAGGCAAGCAAAGATAGCATGCAAACGATAGTGTATTAGGCGTGCAAAACCGGTATTAATAATGCTGTCATTTTGAAGGATGTTGATAATTTAAATTTCGTATTTACTTTAAAAATATTATATCGTTAAAAATGGTTTATGTTAGTGATTAAGAATACTACAAATTATTTTTATAATGTTATTGCCAGTTCGTTAGTAAAATTTATCTTTATTACGAATTGGAAAAAAAATTTAAAAATACGATTATAAGAAGGATCATTAACAGAACTTCAAAAATGATACACATTTTCCTAATGAATTATATCATTCGCTATAAATTTTTATGTACGGTTACTGTGTTTTAATCGAGACTATTGATCGAATGAGCAAACACATACGTGCTTTACTATACTTTGATTTATATATTAAAAAACATACAGGGTGGATAGTCGATTTCGAAAATCGATTCCAAAACAAATATAAAAATTGATTAAGTTATTTATTAAATTACGTATAAGCAATTGAAATATTTTAATGAAGCAAGATATCGCTCTATTCCATCTAATGCAAATTTCAATTGCTTATGACATAAGCAACATTAAAAACAGTTTCATTAAAAAAAGATGAAGTTGATCTTCACATGTTCTTATATCTCTATCAAATTGTGCATTCGAAACGAAGTAAATTCTACATATATACATATTTAAAAAGGAATAATGTATATATAGTTGGGGAAATACTTGCATTCGCTTCTCAACAAATATCCTGTACATGCACATTAGATGAAATCAAATCAGATTTATACATCTCTGGTGAATTCATAACAAGCTTCTTCCTGGTCATCGAAAATGAATGTAACGCAGCATGTGGTAATGCTAAGTAACAATAATACAATTAATTGCTCCCTAGAACGTTTTCTTTATATAGCCATTCAGAATAATTGGCTCTCTGAATTATTTTTCCTCTTATTTGTAAGATAAAAGACTTTCATTCACTTTGAAATATAAATTTCTTGTTTTATTTTTAATTAAAAGACACTTGAAGAGAGGAAAAGGAATTTTAAGGTAATCGTAAAATGTTTGAAATAGTATTTTCAGTAGTATTTTTCCATATAAAATAAGTGATCCATATGTAGATTATCCATTATAAATAGATTACATCTAGAAGATATTAGTAACATTTTTTTTCAACATCGTGTAAATCGTTTTATATTTGTATGAAATGA